AAATATCAAATAAATAAATATTTCCTATAAATTTATATTATAATTTAAATATTTATTTATTTTATTAAAATATAAATTTTATTTTTAAAATATATTATTTTTTAATAAAAAAAAAATATGTATGTATCAAATGATAGTGGGAGCAAGTGCCCCCACTATACTCTACGTGAATCCGTCAATGTATATATATTGTGATGTAATTATAAACTATCTAATACAATAAATTTATTATTTTTGTAATAATTATTTTAAAGTTATAGCAATGTTTTTTTTATTAACTAACATTATAAAACTTTTTATATTAAATATATACAGTAATTAATTCAAAATAAAATTTATTATTAAAGTTAATTACACAAACAAAGAATATTAAACTTTAGAAATTAGGATGTTTAAAAGACAAAATAATTAAGTACTCTACAAGCATATATTATGAAAATAATTTAGTTAATAAAAAAATCTCGTATTCAATATTTATAATGTATATAAATTTTTCATAACAATAGTTATCTTAATACAACAAATGAGATTAGTTTATAATCTTATAAGTAAGAGAATACAAGGAAAAAAATTGAGGGATAAATTAACAGTATGATACATTTTTATATTCATTCTTTTATTTTATTTTATTTTTATAATGTGCACACACGTATATATATACAGTGACAGATCCAGAAACTTTAGATAGTGGGGCAATATGTATTTATGTATTTATAATATTAAAAATTTTACATATAACTTTTAAAAATATAAATATATCATAATTATTTTTACAAGTTTTTATATCTATGATTATAATTAAATATGAAAATAAATTAGATCAAACTAGATTATATTATAATTTAGTAGGTTTGAACCTAATTTTTTTAAAAAATTATTATTCTAAATATAAATTTTTTATCTATCATAGACATTTTTTAAATTTTGGTTAGAAATACAATCCCAAAAACCTACTTTATAATAATTTAACATTAATAAAAACATACAAATACATATGTTAAACTTTATAAAAATCAAGTTTAATTTATTTATGATATAAACATATTTTTAATATCTAATATAAATTTTTAGATGACAATTTATTTTAAAATATATTTTATATTAAAAATTCTAAATAGAACATAAATCTTTTAATATTTTTTATTTTGATTTTTTAATCAACGTATACAATAAATAGAAAACACAAAAGATAAATATGTGCTACAAATTTTATTTTTTCAAAAATTAACTTTTTTCAATATATTATATTATATATGTGAGAATTAATATATATATATATATATTATAATTAAACTTTTTAATTTTTTTGACAAATATCAAATAAATAAACATTTCCTATAAATTTATATTATAATTTAAATATATATTTATTTTATTAAAATATAAATTTTATTTTT